GGCTGGCAGGTCGCTATCTGGAGTGTGACAGGACCCAGCTTCTTTTCGATGCTGCCAACCTGTTGGGGCTCAGGATGTCATCCTGTTTGAGCCTGGTGCCTCACCCCAAAGCAGGTTTTCTTCTGCATCCCCCTTTGGCTCCAGGCTACCTGGTCTCCCAGCCTGTGCTCCAGCATCCCATTCTGCCTCTGGGGGAATGCATCTCCTTCACGCCCTAGTACCCCAGGTCCCAGGCTTTATCCAGAACTCTACTTGCCCGGATACCAGTAGGACCTCCCCTACCCAGAGCCCACTTCCAGAGGCCCCATGCCAGGCTGTAGTGTTTCTGTGCTGTGATCAGAACCTCAGGAAGTCACCTGAGCCTGTTTCCCCACTTTTTTTTTTTGTATTTTAGGACAGGGTCTACAGGCTGTCACTGTGTAGGTCAGACTCGTAGTGAGCCTCCTGTTTACAGCCTCCCAAGTGCTGGGATAAGAGGCATGAGCCACCGCCACCACACTCAGTCTCAATCACCATCTCAGGGCACCTCGGGGGTGGGGCCAGCACGGCAGGCCTGGGGATCGAACTCCTGGCCCCTGCATCTGCCTAAGCAGGCACTTTAATCTGCTGAGCTATTTGGCAGGTCCTAGTTTCCCCATTTGTGAAGTAGAATCAAGCACCTAGCTGTGGCTTACTGGAGGGTCACATGAGGCCTTCCATGCAGTACTCTGTACCTGGACATGGCCTGAGTGGTCCCCCTGGCAAATCCACTTGCTTAAGCATTACTTCCCTCCACGTTGTGAGGCCTGCTTCTGTAGCTTCCTCTTAGAAAATTTATGAAATGCCAATGGGTGAATCCCTTCCTCTGGAAGCCACTGCTGTGCAGCCTGGCTCTAGCACTCACATGGTAGGAACAAGCACCAGAGGAAGTGGGCTGGGGCCAAGGCATCATTTCTTGCTATATCCAACTCTCTTAGGCTCATTCTAGGTGTTCTCCAATTCAGAGACAGACAAAAGACACCAGACCTGAGAGTCTTCACCTCAGCCCCCCCCCCAGTGCTTTGTGGTGGGAATAAAGTGTGTGAAAGGACAGTCAGGGGAACATGTGGCTTCAACAGGTTTTTTTTTTTTCAAATTAATTTTTATTTATGTGTGTGTGTGTGTGTGGCCAGCTCAGCCCACCAGGGGGCGGGGCTGGCTGGCATGTGGTGCTGGGGATCAAACCGCGGTCCCTGTGCTTTGCCAAGCTTGTTTCAAGTAGGTGCTTTAGACCACTGAGCCATCTCACCAGCCCTCAACAGGTTTTTCTACTCGGGACTTCTCCAAGCCCTTGTGAGGCTGCAGAGCACAAACAGCTGTCATCGCTGGGATAATCCCACTTTGCCTTGGCTGCTAGGAAGCTCAGATTTGTGATGAATGGGACTTTGGCTTGTTTTAGCAGTTGTCTCCTTCCTAGTTTTTTCTGTATTTGGTACAGAGTCTCACTCTGCAGCTCAGAGGCAGGGCAGGCAGAGCATGTGATACTGGGGATCAGCCCAGTCCTTGCACTTTGTCAGGCAGCGCTTAGGCCGCTGAGCTATCTCTGTGGCACTCCTAGTTTTTTCTGGGCATCTCTGTAACAATCTTTTTTGGAACAAGGCTTATCTTTTAAAGTTGGTCTTTTTTTTTTTTTTAATTTTTTTTTTTTTTATTTATTTGAGAGAGAGAGAGAGAGAGAGAGAGAGAGAGAGAGAGAGAGAGAGAGAGAGAGAGAGAGAGAGAGAGAGGTGTGTGTGTGTGGCCAACTCAGCCCACCAGGGGGCGGGGCTGGCTGGCATGTGGTGCTGGGGGATTGAACCGCGGTCCCTGATGCCTTGCCAAGCTTGTTCTAAGTAGGTGCTTTAGACCACTGAGCCATCTCTCCAGCCCAAAGTTGGTCTTTTTGTTGTTGCCTTTTTTTTTTTTTTTTGAGACAGTTTTGCTGTGTAGCTGTCTGGCCTTGAACCATATAGCCCAGGCTGATCTGGAACTCATGGTGATGGTCATCTTCCTGTGTCAAGCCTCCCAAGTGCTGGGATCACAGGTGTCCACCACCACACCCAGCTAGGGCAGCTTTCTTTGATACCAATAAGTATTTCCTGTCATCTTTCCTGTCAAGGACTAACAGTGTTCATCTGTCCATCTGTGTCACCCATTCCAGGCTCTGATTTGGGGTGGATGACCAGGTATGCACAGCAGGGGTGGGGTCTGTCTCAGCCTTTCCTCTATCTGTGTGACCCACTTGCTGGCCCATGTTATTCAAAGAAAACCATGTTCAAGGACACAGGGCAGTTCTCTGGAGAGGTAGGCCCTAAGTGGCATGATGCTTCCCTGAAGGTGTGGGCTGCCAGGGGGCAGGGAGTGGTCTCTTCCTGAGGCTTCACTGGCCCCTGGCCATTAGTCTGGCCTATGGTGGCTGGACAGAGGCACCGTGGTGGGCTGAGGCCATCGTGTGCAGACTGCTGACATACCCCTGTGCTAGGTCCCTGGCTGCTTGGGTGGGGTTAGATACTGTTGCCCTGACCTTTTCCCACTTCCCAAGGAGCAGGGACAGTCAGCAAGCCTGCTTCTTGGTTGAGTCGTGTGCCACATCTGTCTAGCCACCACCCACTGTCTGGCCAGGGGGCCTGAGCCTGGGAGCCTCCATGCTAGGGGGGCCCAGGGCACCAAGGTGGGTCCTCAGAGCCCTGGCCCTTGACAGGCAAGAAGCAAACAAGGGGCTGGTGAGATGGCTCAGTGGTCTAAAGCACCTACTTAGAACAAGCTTAACAAAGCACAGCGACTGCGGTTCGATCCCCCAGCACCACATGCCAGCCCGCCCCGCCCCCTGGTGGGCTGAGCTGGCCACACACACACATAAATAAATAAATGTTTAAAAAAAAAAAAAAAAAAGAAGCAAACAAGTCATAAGATAGTTTCCAGGTGATGCCAAAGGGGCCACAGGCCTGGGAAGAAATGAGGGGCTTTTGTCATTCATGTCCTCTAGGCAAGACCGGAGGACCTGAGGCAGGGCAGGGGTCATCAGCACTTCTGACCCAGCTGTACAAACCCATTTCTGTCAAATGTCTCTAAAGAGATGCGAGACAATGAGCCTAGAGCCAGACTCTGCAGTCTTTAGAGGCACATGGGGCTTTCTGCCCGGTCTGCCTGCCTACTGCACAGGACCCCAACCCTGAGTAGCCAAGATGAGTGCCAGGTCACACTGAAATCCACTTTAGTATGGAATTGTGTCCTTTTCGTTTTATCAGGGTGCAAAGCTGGGTGCTATAGCTGTCCATGGCCAGGGCAGGATGGACACCCTGGCCTGGGACTTGGGTAACATGCTAGAGTCAGGCCTTTCCCAGGCACTGGCTCACACCATCACCATAGCAACCCCAAAGCAAACTGCCTCGAAGCTGACAAAACTGAGGCATGGAGAAGACTGAGCCTTTTGCTTGGGGTTGCACAGGAAATGGCAGGGTCTGGGCTGGATCCTAAACCTTAGAGGGTAAGAACTCTACAGAATCCCAGTGAAGGTCACCCACAGAAATGCAAGTCCTCCCATTGGGTCAGTGTCTAAACTGGCTTGCAGCTTTTATTTGGGGCTGCTTACCATTAAGAAAAAATACAGCAAGAAATGGGTTTTCATGAGCATGGTTGTAACTGAACCCTGCTGCTGCCTGGATACTGGAAGCCAAGCAAGCATGCTCTCCAGAAGAGGCTCACAGGACATGGCAGCTGACATGGTATTGTCACACCAGTCTCATCACCAACACCACAGAAACTTGAAGTTGGGGCCTGAGCCAGTGGAATGGAGGGGAAGCCAAGGCCCTCAGATTACCCTGTCATTGACCCCGCAACCTCCATCACCTCCGTTCCCTTAGAGTTCACTAAACAGGCCACCCTGGCCCTACCAGCCTGGGTTTGGGTCATGGTTTGTGCACACAGAACTGTTTGGGGGAGAGCCATTGTGGGCGAGGAGGGGCGCCTCCTTCTGCCACCTGCCTAGAGCTGGCACAGAAGCCCAGCAGAGTGAAACCAGTGGCCTCACCATCAGTTTTAGTGCTCACACAGGCACAGACACTGGCTGGAACCGAAAGGGGGGACCAGGCCTCCCTCCACTCGGCCTGCTTCCTCCAGTGAGTCCAATGATGAGGCCAGCAGGCCACAGGAGCCTGTTGCTGTAGCTATCCCAAGGGGCAGAAAGATAAGAAATCGGGGTTCTGTGCATTAGGGAGCCCCACCTGCTACTGACCGCTTAGGGCTGGGACTGCTAGTCATGTGACTCCTTCCTCTTTGGTAGCAGGAGATATCCATGGCATGCTAAACCCTCAGCTGATGGTTATCCTCCTCTGACCCGCTGGGTCCAACAGGGTACCACACTGCCCTCAAGTACTGTGCCTGACCTTGGAACTGTGCTCCTTGGTACCGTAAGCCTGGCTCTGCTTGCTACTCTCTGGAAACCCAAGCAGCTGTTTCCCACCTCCCAGGCTTCTTCTCCCTTGCAGCCACCTGGTATCACATGGCCCTGAAGTAATTTTAGTGGCAGGGCCATTGGGAGGAGGGGATGTGAGGGGGTGGGGCATGTCTGATACTCCCCAGTCAGAAGGCTGCTCCTCAGCTCTAGGGTACCCCCAAGTCTTCTGCTTCAGCCAGGCCCAATGTGTTAGGATGAGGAAGGTGGCCTCCCACCCTGTGTGGACAGCATATGGTGGGAGTGTGGGGCTGTGGCCAATTTGGCATAGCCATGCTATGCTTTGCCTCTTTGGGTTTGGTGTGACAGGGCAGGTTACGGGTCAGGGACTTCTATGTGCCTCCAGCAGCAGGCAAGCCACCTCCACCAAAGCTGGGATGTAGCTGTTAGCCAGCACAAGTTCCTCAGGCCTCAGTGGTGGCCAGGACATGAGGGGACTGTGGGCCAGGCCTCTGTCCAGGCCCTGCCCACTCAGCAGCCCCTGCACACTATGGTGAGTACTGCAAGACGACAGAGGAGAAGCCTGGAACACCCCATCTCCATTTTCTAGAGTTCAAAGCCCAAGCTGCAGGCACCCTGCTTCAGCATCCAGGAGGTCCGGCGGTGCACACGCCTGGAGATGCCCGACAATCTCTATACTTTTGTGCTGAAGGTGAGTGACCACAGGACTTTCAGGCCTGAGAGTAGGGGCCACACACTCCTCAGACTCACACTGTCCCCTTCCTGCCTGCCAGGTAAAGGACCGGACAGACATCATCTTTGAGGTGGGAGGCGAGCAGCAGCTGAACTCATGGATGGCTGAGCTCTGGGAGTGCACTGGCCAAGGGTGAGGCCCTCCCCACACTGCCCCATTTGCCTACTGTGCCTCCCCTAGCCCCACCCTAAAGCCCTCAGACCCAGCTTTCTCCCTCCAGGCCGGAGAACACAGAGCCAGAGATGCGCCGTTCCTCTGCCCCTGAGCCCAGCACTTCCAGCTCGCCACAGGGTAGCACAGATTCCCTGAACCAAGGTGAGCAAGGGGGCCAGGCCCTGGGACTCTGGGTACCCTGGCACTGTGGCACCTGCATGGGGTTACCACCAGCCTATCTTCTCTACCAGGTGCTTCTCCTGGGGGGTTGCCAGACCCCACTTGTCAGAAAACAGACCACTTCCTGTCCTGCTACCCCTGGTTCCACGGCCCCATCTCCAGGGTGAAGGCAGCCCAGTTGGTACAGCTACAGGGCCCTGATGCGCATGGGGTGTTCCTGGTGCGGCAGAGCGAATCCCGGCGCGGGGAGTATGTGCTCACTTTCAACTTTCAGGGCAGAGCCAAGGTACAGGCAGGGGAGTTGGGCTGTGCTGTCACCCCTGGAGCTCACCTTGGGACAGCGTACCACTTTCACCTCCCTCCCGCAGCACCTGCGCCTATTGCTGACGGAGCGGGGCCAGTGCCGAGTGCAGCACCTGCGCTTCCCCTCAGTCGTGGACATGCTGCGCCACTTCCAGCGCTCACCCATCCCGCTTGAGTGTGGGGCTGCCTGCGACGTCCGGCTGTCCAGCTATGTAGTTGTCGTCTCCCAGCCACCAGGTGCAACAGAGAGACCTTTTGCTAACAGGGGTGGCTGGCGCAGGGAGCTAGGTGGAGGGTAAAAGCTGCTGTGGCCCAAGCCACACAGACATGTGGTTTTGGGTCCTGCCAGCACCTGTGCAGACATTGATGGAAGGTCTCTTGGTCACTTGTCCTAGGTTCCTGCAACACTGTCCTCTTCCCTCCCTCCCTCCCACACTGGGACTCAGAGCTGGGCCTCCCCCACCTCAGCTCTTCTGGCTGTCCTCAAGGGCTTGGTCCTGAGGGTCTTCCGGGCCGCTCGTCACCCCCCGAGCAGATCTTCCACCTGGTGCCTTCCCCGGAGGAACTGGCCAGCAGCCTGCGGCACCTGGAGTTTGAGCCTGGGAGTCGAGCCCGAGACTCTGACTATGAAATGGACTCGTCCTCCCGGAGTCACCTGCGGGCCATCGACAACCAGTACACACCTCTCTGACGGCGGTGGGGCCCAGCCCCCAGGAGTACAGGCGAAGATGTGAACTTGTGAATGTAGTGATCTTTCCTTCCTTCCAGAGAGAGATTCAAGGGCCACCCAGCTACTACTCCTTGCAGTTGGATGTGAGCCTATTAGGCCTGTTAAAGGGCCTCCTGTAAGTCTTGCCCATACTCGGCTTTTCCTTGTTGTTTACAGAAGTGGTTCCTATCTGCAGATGCCACCAGATCTTGCCCTGGGTCCCTAATCCCAGTCCCCATCACTCTGAGAAGAAGTGGGGGGTGAGGGCAGGAGCTGGAGGAAAAACCCTCTCACTGACACTGGCACAGCTGATGACAAACATTCTACTGGGGGGAGAGAGGGGTGTCATCAGGGAGCCCAGAACACTAACAAGCCCTGGAGCCTTGTGGGGTTTCCTGTCGGAGCATCAGTCCCAAGGCAGGTCCATGCCACAGGTGGGCACTCCTAATACTGCTTCTCTCAGCTTTAGGACAAAAGCTCTATCACGGGCAAGCTGAAGGTAAAAAATGATTTTAAACATTTTACCTCAGATTAATTTTTTAAAGGATTCAGGTTTCAAGACTAAATCATTGCTTCCTTCATTGCACTGTTTCAACTTGTACCTGACTTGTGCCTGCTCTATAGCCAGGAACTGCTATGCAGACCCTGCCTGACTTACTCATGGTCCGAGCCACTGTGCCTGGCGGCCTTGTCCATCCGTGGGACCGTCACCTGCTGCTCAGCAGCCACTGTCCGCCCTGAATACAGGGAAATGAAGCGTGTCACACTCAGAGCAATTCAGGCAATCACTGAAACAAGAGGGGGGCAAGGAAACAGTTCTACCTTGGTGCCTTAAGAATAAACGACCCTGGTGTACAGCAGCAGCCTCATGAAGACTGGGTGTCACTGGGGAGTGGCAAGCGGAAAGGAAGGAGGCTGCTAGGCCCTTTCTAGGCAGCCCCCACTAACAGGCCAGCTCAGAGGCCCCCATGCATCTGTGGCTTATTAAATGACCCCACACATGGGCTTCTGATTCCTTTTTAATCCAAAATGGAAGCTAGGAATCTGATACTGGCCAAGGAGAAACTAAGAACTGACAATCTGTCCTGTATTTCTTAGCACATGTGTCTCCACACACAGGACCCTGTCCAGCCAGGGCCTAAAGCCAAACCTCCATCTATACTTGCCTTTCAAATGACATGATTCATAGAGGGGCCTTCCTGTGGAGGCGCAGGCACAGAGCAGGCAGTGACGTAGCAGCCAGCTGCTCCCGAGTGCCCAGAGAACCATTCAGTGTGGCCAACCAGTGTCAGGCAGTGGCTTCTAGGATCACTCAGAAGTGAGCATGAACCCAGCCTCAGAGCAACACTGCCTGCCTTCTCAAGGACAGGCTCGGTCTCTCCAGCTACTCTCTGTACACCAAGAGGGCAGGCCATTGCTTCTACAACTTGCTCATCTTTAGAGGGCTTTAGGGTGGGCATAGTGGCACACCCCTGAAATCCCACTGCTCAGGAGGCTGAGGCAGGAGGATTGCCAAGCGCTCAAGTCCAACCTGGGATATGTAATAAGTAAAAGGCCTGCACTACATATTGAGACCCTGTCTCAAAACACCAAGGGTGAAAAATGGCTTTAGAGCCACCTCTGTGCCACTCTGAAGATACTCCAGTGTTCTCATGGCCCACACCCAGCACTATCCGGGTTTGTTCAGATCTGAGGATGCCTGACTCTATCCTCTACAAGCAGGCTTCTCTAGAACATGTGTGGTTGGGTGTACCCTAAAGGCAAGAGCAACGTGAGTTCAAGGCCAGCCTGGGCTACCTCCTGAGGTCCTATCTCAAATAAAAACCACCAAAGGTGAACCAAGTAAGCAGTGTTTGAGATTTTTTTTGAAAGACGAGGGTCTTCAGAGAAGGCAAGTCTAATGAGTGAGTTGGCTAGGTTTTCTTCTGTCCGCACAGGAAATAGTGAAGTAAGTTCCCTTGCTCCAGCTCCAGCCAGTTCATCCCCTTCCAGCTTGGGCAGTGCCAGAAGTGCGCCAGGCTCTGTACACACAGCAGCTCCAACCCAGTTCAACCCAGACAGTGAACTGAGTCCCCCATCCCACACTGCTTCCTCTCTGAATGTGTCCAGTTTACCAGGACAGCTCAGATACATTAACAAAGACCCCTTATGGCCCTGGGACCAAGTGACACTATGCCAATGCCTTTTCTGCTGGAGCAGATCCAGCTGCCTGACGGGGCTGGGTGCTCTCACTGGTGTACCTGGCCTGCCTTGGGCCAGCACATCCCATGCCCCTCCCACCAGGCACGATGTGATCACTGCTGGCAGATGAGGCCAAACCAGCAAGTTCCACCTAGAGCAGGGCGAGTGCCATCCTGGACAGCGGAGGAGTGTCAGGGTCCCTCCTACTTACAAATCACAGCTCCCAGCACCATCCCTTCCTTCTCATCTGACATTAACTTTTACAAACTAACAGTCACCAGCACCAAAGAATAAGTCAACTAACCTGCCTTGAATTTTAGACCAGCAATCCATATGGTTTTATCTGGTATAAATCTTCTGCCTCGATCACTTCTGGACCATGTAGGAAAAAGGAATAGCAATCATTAAAATCCTGGACCAGAGAACACTATTTTTACATAAGTTTCTTAATCTATCAAGGAAGGCCTTCAACTTTTCCCTGAGGGTTGCCTGAGATTGCTTCCTGCTCTTTATTCAGGGCTGTCTCTTACCACAGATGGCATGTCCGAGCTAACATCTTGACAGTAGATCACCCGCTGCCTCTTACCAAGGACACCCTTGATGTCTAGTAGCTCAAGTAACAGTACAGTGTACTAACACAATCAGCAGATTCAGCTGGTATCATTTTAGGCAGAGGGTATTTGGCAAATTTGTATGTATTGTTTATGTACTGTATAAGTAACTTATTATTGAATAATGCAAAATTTGCTATAATGTACAAATTGCTATATATGTGAATTAAAATAAGTTTCCAGAATCTTGATTTGTTGCTACCATGTCTGAAGGCTCTATTATATTAAACCTATATTCTTAAAATCCATACCCTGCTTAACTACATGCTTTTCCTCTGTCTTCCAAAGGAAAGTGGGGATATTGAATACTTGGGAGTTTGTCCGTGTTAGTAAACTGTTGTATATGTCTGTATCTTTTGGCCTTACTGTCCTCTGGATCTATCTCTGTGTCTGTCTGTCTCTTGTCAGGCTGGCCTGGAACTCCGTTCCTCTTGCCTCAGCCTTCCCAGTGCTTGGATTATAGGCCTCCAGATTTTCTAATTGTAGTTTTAAAAAATAAAGTATCTCCTGCCCCCTGCTGGTAAAATAGCTGAATTGGGACAACTGCTGACCAAGGAGTGGTTGTGTCTGGGAAGAGAGGAAATGGGAGTTGACAGAAGGCATGCATGCTGCTTGGGGCTGTGGCATTGGCCAGCCTTCCTCCTCCCAATTCCCTGCACTAATCCAGAAAGGAGAGCTCAGACTTGGCTCTTACCTTATACTGGAACTAAAGGTGAAAAAGAAAGACTGTTTGACAACTACCTTTAGGATACAGAAGCAGCCTATGTATAGCCCGCCTTCCCTGACAGTCTCCTACAGCACAAGTAGCTTACACAAACACACATTAACTTATCAGTTTTTAAAACTTTTTTTATTTTTAAATTTTTTTAAATTTTTTATTTTATATTATCTACAAAGTAAAAGTTTTCCCTTAACTTAAAAGTTGAACCACTGTAGACAGTGATCACCTCATCAAACTTGATTTATAAATAATAACCCGTCAGTTTGACGGTAAGAATTTACTGAACGTTTGTCAAGTTTAGTAAAAGGGTGTTCTAAATCTTGATTTTTTTTTTTTTTTTTTAGCGATAATAGCAGCAAGAATCACTCTTGTTACTTCTTTTGCTAGCTGATGTGTTCATGACTTTCAAGGGCCATTAAAAAATAAATAACTTCCAGTTTCAGCAAGCAGAGCTGGGATACCTGCGGGACTTGGAAACAGCACATGGAATTATGGAAGAGCCCACAAATCCCTAAATGCCTCTACTCGGTTCAAATGCCTTCCACTGCAAGTGAACTGTTAGCATTCCTACTGAATGTTACAAGAAATCAACGTATATTTTTTAAAAAACAAAATAAATGTAATTCTAGTTTTCTGTGCTTCCAGTTGGTAGAAGCAGTAGAAGGGAGGAGGGAATTTGGCCTTTCGGTTCCTCCAGGGCAGCCTTACAACTGCTGTTGGTGGTGGGCTTGTACTGTAAAAAAGAAAAGTGCACATTTAAACAGAACACTGGCAACACTGCGCATCAGCCTAGTGTCTCCACAGTGCAGACTGTGAACTATCCTCGTGCTAGCTGAGCAAGACTTGAAATTGAATTCACTTCCCCCCACCCGTCTGCACCAAGGTGGGGAAGGACAGGGAGGTGAGTGGGTAGAACAAACCAGTCAGACGTGAAACCTCTTCAGATAAAACTCCCACAAGACTTGATGGGGGGAGGAGAAAAGGCTCTAACATACCCCCTCCCCACATAGTAGCCAAGCACAGCATTGCTTTCAGAGTAACAGGTGAGACTGAAGTACCGCCATGGCAGCCATCCAGTACTGGAGCACCAGCAAGGGCGGCCCCCTTCGGGGCGTAGGCCGGGACTGACACTACACTCAAACCAGTCCACACACAGCACTTGCTCATCAGTATCTTCTCCAAGCTACAATCAAACTGCCATGGTCATAACCCCCCGCGTGTCAGCTTGTGGGAACTCAGGAAGGAACACACTGCCCTGCGCAGCCTGTTGTAACAAGGAAGGCCAACTGAGTCCTAGGCATGCACCAGCGACCCGAATGCGGTGGCTGCCGCTGTTCATCAAGCCACATCCTGCATACCATCAGAACACACACAGACCGGTTCACGGAAGCCTCAGGCCCTGACACTGACTGATCATCGAAGTCCCTTTCGGGCAGTGTTGGACGGGTCTTGCTATTCTTGAGCACGGGGCTTGCAGCGTTGGCCCTGCCTGCCATTCAACCTGTGCGAGCAGAATGCTTGGGGTGCCCCGGCGGCCCCTGCACACACACGCCTCACCTGAAGGGTGCGTCATATAGGGGAAATGCGCTGTTGTCGAGACTGGAATGGGCTGTAGTGCACTTTGAGCGAGAGCGGCCTGGGGACCGCCGGGTGGCTGTGTCGTCATTAGCATCATTGGCGCATGGGCAGTTGGATGAGAAGGAACCATTCCTGACTGTACATGAGCCTGAAACAGAGAGCTCTTTTACGCATACAGGCAACATCTCCAGCTTAAACAACAAGTCAACTGTGTTCCTTTCCTTGCACTAGACTGGAACTCAGGAGTGGGCAAGGCTCAGCCTCAGGGCCGTTTCTTTCCTCTGGGACGCCCCCTGGTTCACACCTTCTGGCAGCTGCTGCAGGGCTGGGGAGCCTGGGTGAACATCAGGGCTCCAACATTCTAATCGCCACCGCTGCTCATCACTAAGTTCTGCCTCCAGCACAAGGTCTCAGAAAGGGCAATCCTGATCCCGAGCAGCATTTTCAGCTAGGAAAAGACACCATGGTGCTTCAGAAAGGGGCTTCCACGTTGGGCCTGAAGATGTTTGACAGAGACATTCCTTTCCAAAAGAAAAGGAGACTATTGCAGGATAAGGAGGGACTGTTGGATGCCACCGACCTGGGTCACTTTTCCTTGCTTCCACCTCCCCTTGCTGAGGCCTGCTCACCAGGCAATAAGGTGAAGAAACTCTTGGGTTCCCTGCACTCTCGGAAAGGTTCACTGATGGAGTGGGGCAAGAGCCTGCAGCTGACAGCTCCCATGTGATGAAGAGCAGTCTGGAATTATCTGGACCACCCAGTGCCCAGATACCAAGTGACAGCAAGTTCAAGAAAGAAAGATTTCAGCCCAGACAGCAAGAGCCCGGCTCTGTAAGGGGTTGGCAGGGCTAGGAAGAGCCCTTGTTTCCTGCCTCCCATACTGTGTGCTGTTTGTTCTAAGAAAGTGAACTTTGAATGAAACGCCATTTTTACTCTCTCATAATCAAGTGGAATATTTGGACTTTCTCACATAATAAGCCTTTTTTGCTCTTTCTGCACAAAGACACAAAAGTGAGGTTTTAGGAACCTCAACTTATATTTAAGTTCACAAACCTACTTTGCCACCAACTCTGTTAGACACCTGCAGAAATGCAACTCTCATGAAGCTGATTCCATCAAAACACGCTGACCACACCGGCCCCCTCCCGACTACAGAGCCAATCGACTCTAGCGCACTACACTGTAGCACCTGACTTCCACAGGGTATGGGTTCCAAACACGCCAGCAACTGTGGACCTCCAGTAACATGGAAGCCCAAGAGATCTCCAACCACATCGCATCTCTGGCCCACACCTTGCCAGAGCCTCGTGGGTACACTACTGGACAGAAAATGGAGGTGAGTGAGGTGGGTCTTGTTTAGACCCACCGAAGAGCTCTGGTATCGAAGTAGCACAGACAACTAATGCAGCCAGTTCATCTGAACTGGGCTCCATGGATGGCCTCAGGACAGCACTAGAGCCCAACTCTAGTGCCATTCTTCTCCCCAGGAGAAGCCAACATGTCCCTGGCCTATATAGGACCTCTGTCAGCAGCTGATGCAGACGGTGCCACACCTTCTCACCTTCCCAGGCTCACCCTGAAGGATCTCCAGAAATCTCCAGGCCTGCACTATAACAATAAGGCACCTGGGTGCATCCAACTTATTACCCAGCCCTCTCCAGAAGCATAACACATGGCCAAAGCAGATGGGGGACAATCAGGGAAAACAGCTGGACAGACTGCCCTGAACTCATGGGACTGACACCCA